GTGAGAGCTCAAAAACAAATAACAGTCATAGTCATGTTGCAGACAGTAACTCATTTGTGCAATAAAAATGATTTCGATTGGTCTGATTGGCTCAGAAAAATACTGTGGCGCTTTTTCAAAAAACATAAACCGCAAATGTGGCGATCATCCAGCTGAAGCAGCGCTTATGTAAATCTCACAGAGTGTTCCCGGCGACACTTGCCTTTTTGTCAACGTAATCGTTTTTTCACCTAACACACTGCGCCCGCTATTCCAAATTAACTGATTCATTTAGGCGCAGTTAACCCCCCACTGTGAGTGCATGTCCTCAAGACATCACCTCCGAGGTATTCCACCTTCAAGTTTAGATTTTTGCCTCTAATAAAATCATCCAGGCTGCCGGTTATTAAATATGCATTATACAACATACTCAACAATACACTGTATTTTCAGTGAGAATTTAAACTTTTCGTAGGCTGAGGGTAGTTTATTCGAGCCTTTATTGCCAGACGCAGGCTGAATGGAAAGTTCACACCTTTTAACGCCCCCATTAGTCTGCGTTTACATTCGCTCATTGCTGATTTACATTTGCGACCAAATAGCATCTTTACTGCTGTTTACTGAGGGCCTGGCGGTACTGGAGAGGAAACGGGGGCATTTGATATAAAAGTCGGCCTTCAAGGATCCCACTGTCACTCCACGCAGCTCGCAGATCGAAGACTTGGCTCACCGGTTATTTACTCACCGACAAATATGCTGAAGTTTGTCATCAGCTTCGCCGCACTGCTGTGCACGGCGGCTGCCGTGTCGCTCCACTCGTTCACTCCCGCGACAGAGTCCGAGGAAGTCCGCTCAGCTGCTATAAAGAGACTTTTGGAGGTTTTCGGGATGGACGACCCCCCTGTGATTCATGGACACAAACAGCCCCCTCAGTACATGCTTGATTTGTACAACGCGGTAGCCGACGTGGACGGTGTGACCAAGGATCCGCATCTTCTGGAGGGGAATACCGTGCGCAGCTTCTTTGATAAATGTAAGATCTGATGTGTCCCCGCATGTGTGCCAGGATGGCTGCTTTGGAAGACACTCTGATTTGAGCCCTAATCCTCTCATTTCTATTGCAGTGTACAGTGATCAGGTGGAGTTCAGCTTCAATTTGTCAATGGTCGCAAGAACAGAGAAGATTCTCGCTGCAGAGCTCCATCTTTATAAGCTGAGACCTCAGGCACCCTTGACGTTCAACAGACATCACTTCAGCCAGGTATGTAGACCAGCTCTAGACCAGTATTTAAACCCGAGTGGCTGAATGGCTGTTTCTAATTCTATCTACATTAATTTGGCTCTTTCAGGTCAGTGTTTATCAGCTGTTTGACACCAGCAAAACCAATTTTACGCAGAAGAAGCTGCTTTCCTCTCGACTTATCCCAGTGCACTCCTCTGGTTGGGAAGTCTTCACAATCACACATGCAGTAAGTATCACCGCCTCTTTAAAGCCCACAAAGATCTGCTTTGAACTACACTGGACAGTGTAGAGTGCTGAAATAAACTTATGACCTTCTTCCTGAAGGTGCGCTCCTGGATGGTTGATGAGGGCACAAACCTGGGACTTCAAGTGGTGGTTCGGACACTGGGAGGAAGCCAAATGGATAAAAAACTGATCCGCTTTGCCTCAGGGCGCCACCACCATCACAGCAAACAGCCCATGCTGGTTCTCTTTACTGATGATGGCCGCTACTCTAATCCTCTTGAGAGCAAAGGTGAGATTTCTACTTTAATGTCAGTTACTCCCAGTGATATTAATATTAAGTGAAGATAGTAGCCGTGTGGATAAGATTTACAGTGGTTAAAGGGAAACCAGCCTCCAGTCTCTATATTCATAAGCACAACAGCCTTAGTTTTAGTTTTAATGGACGACTGAACTAAATGTCCACTGAGGTCAGTGCTGAATATATTTCCATCCACATGTGCAACCATTATTTAGCATGCTTATGAAGGAAACACTCACGTACAACTGGCCTGTGACTGACTGGGAGTATGCTTACAATTCAACAACTTGATGAAAAATGAAGCTCTCAGTGTTTTGTGTGTCCCACTTAAGGGCTTTAGATGTTATATTTCTTTGCACTCTACATTCAAACTTCTACTTCTGCTTGTGTGTCACTGCTTCCTCTTCTGTTTAAGGAATGTACTTCGTAACAGTTCAAAAATTGCATTTTTAAAACGGTGGATTTCTTTCTCCAGATTCAGATGATACAGCAGAAACGTCCAACCTGCCCCAGACTCCCATGTCCGGTCCACCTTCCCGTAGCGCTCGATCTCTGGGCTACGATGCAGACGGTGCAGCCACGCACTGCCAGCGGTTTCCCCTAAATGTAGACTTCGAGGAGATCGGCTGGTCGGGCTGGATCGTATCACCAAAGGGTTACAACGCTTACTATTGCAAAGGCTCCTGCCCCTTTCCTCTGGGTCAGACCATGAAACCAACCAACCACGCCACTGTCCAGTCCATCATCAATGCCTTGAAGCTGGTGAAAGGCATTGAGACGCCGTGCTGTGTGCCAGACAAGCTCTTTTCCATCAACTTGCTCTTCTTTGATGATGATGAGAATGTGGTTTTAAAACAGTATAATGACATGGTGGCTGGAAGCTGTGGGTGCCACTAACATTAACTAGTCACTGGTATCGGGCTGCGAAGATTAAAAACTGTAAACATTGTAAACAGAGCTTGGTCAGCTGACCCTGGAAACTATTATGTGGCCAGTCCTACATGTGACACTGTAGTATATGTAAATAATGATAAATTATAATATATGAAAGTAATTGAAATGATATTAAATAATCAAAGGAATGTTAAATAAATTTGTAAATCTGTATTTTTCTGTATTTTATCTGTATTTTTTATGTTTTGTGTTGGGATATATATTGTAAATATTGTAAATGAAAGTCTTGTTTATTGGCCCTTGCATCAGTTTGTTGCATCATTTGTGAGGCTTTACAAAGCTTCACAATTCTTTTGAGACCCAACCACCAAAAAACAAAAAATCTAACAAACGAAATATGAAAAACAAAACAGACTTTTAATCTTTTTGTAAAGTATAAAGTTAACTTGTAGACCTGCTATGATTACAATGCCCACCCATGTTTTCCAGCTCTGTGGACTTTTGTAAGTTTTCGAAAATCTGTATTAAAGCTCATCTTTTGCCTTTTAGAAGTGTTTCTGTGGGTCCTCTTTTTGAGAAAAGTAATCTCATAATGTTGTGCTAGATCAGGCTCATCAGAATTCAGTATCTCTAAATAGTTTAAGCTACGGTTGCATTATCATGTATACATGGATGCATGTAATACATTTTTTTATGTCACTATTACACCACTTGCAATATTACTGTATATGTAATGACAGTGAAGGCATCTTATCTTATGTCATTCATCTGCACTGACAGTGAAGGCATCTTATCTTATGTCATTCATCTGCACTGAGTATATTCAACTTTATAAACAAGAGGCTTCCACTAGCCCACTGGACATCTTCCTTTTCACCTCTAGAGGGCACTGATGTCCAAAGGGGTTTCCCTTTGGGTCCAGTGAGCACAATCATGATTGTTTATAGTGTAGTAGCAAAAGGCCATCCTCCTACAAACCATCCTCTTAAAAAAAGACATTCCTAAAGATGCTCAGGAAATAGGAGGATTAGAAAAAAGACAGGATATTCTGGACTATAAATAGAGAGTCCTTTAAAGATGCCCCATCAGTACAGTAAGGTATGTGTTCAGCTGTAAGATGGCACAGCTCTCTGTGACCTCCTATAAAACGCAACACAAGCTAAAGTCAAAGTGCTAGGAAGCTTTCTAAGAAATAGACTGATGTAATGTCTTTGTTCATTTAATGTCTTATAACAGCTCATATGTGTTTATGCTGTGCGTCATAAGCATTGGTGTCTGACCTAAATTATGATGTGGTGAATCATGTGGTATGGAAGGCAAAAAAACACAATATTTTCTATAATGGAAGCATCATTGAAATTGTTCTTTGGGGTCTCTAACGGGACCAAAGAATCTCAGGTTGTTGGAGATAGATGTGGATTTTTCAAAATAAAATATATGACCCAAAAGGTTTAGCCTTTATTGAGCCTTTATTTTTATGACTGCAATCACTGGTTGTTCTGGTAAGTTTCATCCTTATTACTCATCCTACCTGGAATAGAGTGAGGTAAAGTTGATGCTGTACACCTGCTATTATAAATCATAATTGCAGGATCAAAGGGAAGTTTTATGTCTGTGCCTCAAGGTGTTTCTGAACTCATTTTGTGTGCACACAAGTCAACACAAGTTCAGTTTTAAGTGAGCTCTGGAACACTTAAAACCTAAAACACTTCAAAACTTGCTTATATATCTATATCTATAGATAGATAGATGATAGATAGATAGATAGATAGATAGATAGATAGATAGATAGATAGATAGATAGATAGATAGATAGATAGATAGATAGATAGATAGATAGATAGAT